TAGTAAAAGGGTGTCTAGAATTCCTTTCAAATGGAGGAATTGAGGTATGATTCTCCTCTGTATTAAATCCTGAGGTTCTGAATGCCATAAAGAATAGTTCACACAGGACAAGTGAACACTGAATGACATAGAATATTTATTTCCAGCACTCGGCTTGGAACCTTTAAATTCTAGATCTTCAGGGGAGGTGTAGAAGGTTTTAGACATAGTTTTCTCCCTTCTTATGTCCACATAGCAGTTGAAAGGTGGGCTGGGAAGTACAACCATCTTGGAAGCCTTGGGCTTCTAGATGTTGAGTTTTCTCAAAGGAGAAAACTAAGGGTGAGTGAATCTTAGGAGGAGGTTCACTAGCTATACTTTTTTTTTTTTTTTTTTGCGATACGCGGGCCTCTCACTGTCGTGGCCTCTCCCGTTGCGGAGCGCAGGCTCAGCGGCCATGGCTCACGGGCCCAGCCACTCCTCGGCATGTGGGATCTTCCCGGACCGGGGCACGAACCCGTGTCCCCTGCATTGGCAGGCGGACTCTCAACCACTGCGCCACCAGGGAAGCCCTAGCTATACTTCTTTTAAGTAACACACCACCAAGATGAAAATAACATTAGACTGAGACAGTGACTTCCCTACCTTATTGGGGCCAAGAAACAACTTTTTGAGAGAAGTTATGCTAGTTAACTGACAACAGTTAAGGGCTAAGTTACACACAGAGCAATAGAGAACCAGTCAAACACTTTTACTTATTTCAGTATACTCTTAACTACTTGGGGTACTAGAAGTTAAGAGTTAATTAGCTAGCTTTTATTGCATCACCTCAGCCAAAACTGTTCTCATAATTACATGAAGCATTATGCTCAAATATTTGATTGCTGCTAATAAACAATATAAATCATCATTTCAAAATAAATTGTTTGCACTTATTTTTACTTACTAATGTGACTTTCCCAGAAATTATTCACTTGAGGAAACAAAGTTTCTTGATAAGGGAAAAGCAGGTTATTTAAAAAAAGATACTTTTTTCAATACAGTTTATTATTTTCAATACAGTTGGATTATTCTTATAAAACCATGTATTACATGGTGGTTATATTGACAAACCTGTCTTCATAAGCTTATTTAACCCATAATGTAATGTAAAAACTTTATTTTTAGGGACAATAGTTGGTTTTGTTTTTGTTCCTCTTTTGTATTGCTGGTAATTAAAAGTAAAATTGGTTAGGAAATAACATTTAAAATTTACTTAAATCATTGAGGCTTAAAGAAAAGTATATTTGATTACAGTATGAGAGATAGAAACTCTAAAAGGATGTTTTAAGTACTTTTAAGGACTTAAATGTTTCATTTCTCATTGTGTCTAACAGAATATCCTTGTAAAACTTGAATCTTACATTTTAAAATAATGAGAATGAATAGAATAAATCTTTGCCTAGCAGTTTTATTAGAGTCAGGGTTTGGTAGTCATAATGGAAGAGAGATAGAGAAGGAGTTTAATAATTTTCTAAGACCGGAAAGAAAATAAAGAGGGTAAAAGAGAACGTGGGTATTGAGAGAGAGAGAGAGAGATTAGGAGGATCTGAGATACAATTAATGAGCTGGAAATGGAGAAAACTGAAAATGGAAAAACTTTAGATTAGGCATTGGGGATACTGGGGAGAGGGGAGGTATATAAACCTAACTGTGGCTTTATGGAGATATTTACAAGTTTATCGTTCGTAACTTGGGGAGTACCTGAAATTGCTTCCCTATTGGTAACATTTCTATTAGATCAGGTTTGCTGTTTCCCACATGGGCATTTCTGGATTTCTGAAAACTCTTTCATTGTCTAGGACTTAAAATGTTATAGTGCTTGTAGTGTTTACGCCTCTTGAGGCATCTTAGCATTTCCTACCAACTAAGCACATCAAGGTCATAAGAAACTTGACTCTGTTTCTTTTATCCCCTCCAAAACCAGACGAATGTTAACTTATTTCTGAATTATTTGAAACCAACAAAACCTACTTTATTTGTATATGGTGGGCACCTAAAAACAATTTGAGTTGAAAAATCTTCAGGAACCAAGCACAGTAGTGTTGGGAGATATCATAAACCTGTACTGCTGTATTCTTCTTAAGCCATGTATACGTAGTCTACCTTGACACTACATATGGTTAGAGCTTCTGTTTGGACATAATTGAAAAAAGTGTAATAGAACTTCATAAAAACTGTGTCACTTTAGTGTCCTCTCAGCCTTTCAGGCTTTAAGTGCCTCTTCAGCCTACCAGCTTTATCAAAGACTCCTGTCCCAGAAAAGGGATTTTTGGTGTAGGGTATCTTCAGATCAGCTTTTATTATATTGCTGATTCATTAAGCAATATAGAGCATATCCTACAATACTGAGCAACTAACCACTTGCCAATTACTGAGGATACAAAGATGAAGAAGTCCTCGTCCTCCAGGAGCCTGCCATCTAGTTGCATTGTTAAGTACATAAACAGATCATTATAACAAAATGTATAAACTCGGTGAGTATAATGATAGAGATGTGCTTGGAATATTCTGGAAGCATAAAGAAAGGACTTCTAATCCGGTGTCTAAGACTGCATTGTCCAGTACAGCAGCCTGTAGCTACATTTGACTGTTCAGATTTTAAATTAATTAAAATTATTAATAAATGAAGTTGAAATTTTAGTTCCTCAATCATACTGGTCACATTTCATTGCTCAGTAGCTACATGTAGCTAGTGACTACTGTATTGACAGCACAGATGTAGAATATTTTCATAATTGTAGAAAGCTTTTTAGAATAGTATTGTTTAAGGAATCAAGATTGTTGAAGGAGGTGACACAAGAGCTGAGGCTTAAAAGTTGAGTACAAGCTAGCTAGGAAAGGGTTTGATGGGGTAGGATAAAACAGTCTAGGTGGAAGTAGGGTAGCCAACCATCCCAATTTGTCTAGTCCGAGGAGTTTATTGAGATGTGAGATTTTCAGAGCTAAAACTGGAACAGTCCAGGGAAAACTGGGACACTTGGTCACCCAAGGTAGAAGAGACTTTATGAACAAACACACTGAATCAAGTATATACATCATATATACAGGAACTTAAAGTTGTTTGGTATTGTAAGAACATAAAAATTTATGGGAGTGGTTGGGAATGTGGCTGCAGAAGTAAGCAGGGACCAGATGCAGGACTTGCAGGTGATAGTGAAACATGATCTTGGGACTTCCCTGGCAGTTCAGTAGTTAAGACTCCATGCTTCCACTGCAGGGGGTGCGTCTGATCCCTCATGGGGGAACTAAGATCCCACATGCTGCGTGGCGTGGCCAAAAAAAAAGAAACATGATCTTGTAGGGATGAAAAGCCATGGAAGGATTTTAAGCTGGGGAGTATCAAGATTTTGTTCAGTTTTGCCTTTTAAGTAGATCTGACTGCATTTATGTGGAAGATGGATTTAAGGGAACAAGTTTGGAGGCAGATCTGTTAGGAGACTTGAAAGTAATATAGGTAAGAGATGTTAGAAATCCTAACTAAGGAAGTGATAGTAAGGAGGAGGGGAAGAGGTAGATTTCATAAGTATTTATGAGGTATAATTAATAGGACTTGGTGTTTGATTGAAGATAGAGTAGGGAGTCAAGGATGTGCCAAGGTTTCTAGTATAGATGCTTTTCTATACCTTTCTTTTCATGTTTCAGTGGTAGTCCTTTTCCCCCTCTACTTGGTTTTACGCCTGTTTACCTTCTAGTCATCCCAATCTTCAAACACCCAATTTTAAAAAGTCTTATTACATTTTAAGAGGGCTGCTCAGGTAGAAAAAGAGATCTAGCCCCTGAGATACACTTAGTTCCACCCCATTTTGTTCATTTTGTTCCATATATCTTCATAATCCCCACTTTCTCCTGCCTGTATCCTTTCCTCCCAGGGAAAACAAACTGGATAGGAACGATTTAGGACAAGGAAGCATATATTCATCTCACCGTACATTGTTTGGAAACTATGCTCCAGTCTGCGGTTCCTATAGGCCTGTTCTTCCTTCCTTTCCTTTAACTGCCTGAACTTGCAGCCCTCACACCAGTTTCATATATTCCAATTTTGTATTTTTTATTTTAGAGGGTATTATATTTTAATTTCATAATCTTCCTGTGAGGGTGAGGATTTGTGTGTGTTTTGTTCATTCATTTATCCCTAGTGCTCAGAAAAGTGCTCGGCATTTAGTAGGTAATCAATAAGTATTTGTTGAATGAATTGATCCTGGTGATAAAAATGCATAATCAAAGAAAGCGGTAGCATAGTATATATAGAGATCATTGGGTTGGGAGTTGGGAAACTTGGATTCTCGTCCTGGCTTTGGCATAAAATACCTGTGTGGTCTCTGAGAAGTCACTTCTCCTTTGCTGGGCCTCAGTTTCTTCATAAGTACAATAAAGTCCCTTACGTTGATGGAATACAGTAAATAAGGTCATTAATGTACAACTGAGACTTCTTTAGCAGTTTAGGTTCTGTGTATATAACAGTTTTCTTGAAATATATGTCAAATTTCCTAGCTTTCCAAGTGACTTAACTATGAAACTATGCTTATTTTTAGATTGATTTGACTGTAATATGAAAGAACCTGAATCTTAAATTCATTTTAATTGGCTCTTAATTTTTAGACTCCATGCTCTCTTAGAGAAACTGAAAGAGGGGGGAAATCATAACAGATGGGTAATTAATACTTGAAACCTAAGTACAGTCATTATGGTTATACTTCCTTTTGATGTAATGTAAGCGTATATCTTAATGTACAGAGTCCAGACACTTAAAGTTTAAATTAAACTTTAAATATTTTTATTTATTTAATTTGAACTATTTTGGTGCCCTGCTGCATTTGAATTTTCTGTTAGTACAAAGTATACAGTATTCCATGTATTCAGCTTATCTTATTAAGTGATACTGAGACAGAAGTGCTATTATAGTCATCAGGCAGTGACAGTTTAACATCTGCTTTGCGCTCAGCGCTTTGTATATTAACCAGTTCATTAATTCTTTGCAGAGCGGCAAGAAGAGAAACTGAAGAATAATAACAGGGATCTATCAATGGTAAGAGTCCTAAATGTAACTTCATGATAAACCACATGTTTTTCAGCAAAAGACCCTGATTTTCATCAAGTACACAGCACTTACCTTTTCAGAAATTTATAGTTAATGCAGGCTATAAATAATATCATGGTTTTTTCTGGACCAAATAGAAGTGAAAGTATGCTACTGGACTGAAGCTTTGTGTTAGTAATATGAATAGCTTTTTTTTTAGGCTCTCTCGAAGTCATAATTTTTCCCTTTCACACAGTTTTTATTAGCTTCCGCCTTACGTTTTCAAATGAAGTAGCTTATTTTCTTTTTCTTCCTCATGTTATTGCTGAATCTTTGGCTTTATGGTGACCTGGTAATCCCAAATAGGAGTTGGAGCATCATAGATGGCCTTTATTGTGGCCTTTATTCTTGAAGAGGCCTTTTGATCTGAGGGTCAGGCATATCATAAAGTGTAAGGAAAAGTGATTTTATTAGCCATTTACTCATTTTTTATAAAGAGTAGAGTTCAAGCATGTCTTTCTGAGGTGTAGGTAGGCTAATTATATGGCTTGACTTATTTTTCTACTTAATTTCTGTATATTCAACACAGGACATCTAAACTGTGCAACAGTTGTCTTTTGCTTACCAAGAGACCTTTGCTGTATTATTTTATCTTCTGTTTCTTGAAATTCTTATTAAGAAAGATCGTAATTTAGAAGTGCATTTTTTTTGAAAATAGCTTTTCTGTTGTTGCAATTATTACATGTTCATGAGACCAAATTTGGAAACTGCAGAAAGAATAGATAAAAAATGCTGATAAACTGTTAATCTTATATCTTTATGATCTTTTATTTGTTTATACTTTTATGGCACATGTAATTAAGAAAGAAGTTAGCTGCAAGAAACAAAATGCTTAATAATGGCTTAAACATATAAAATTTTTTTCACTTGCTCAAGAGGTGCAGAGGTTGGTAGTCCTGGGCTGCTGTGGCAGCACAGTAATGTCACTAAGGACTCAGATTAACCTTCCTTAGCTTATGGTCGTTTGGTTGTTTGATGGTGCTTTACTGTCAGGCATTATGTTCTTCATTCCAGGCAAGAAGTATGGGCAAAAGGCCTAAAGGGATGCTAGCCAAGTTTGTCCCTTTTAAAAGTTCTGGTTGGTACTTACATCTCATTGGCCAGAGTTGGGTCATATGACCACCCCAATAATATTCATCAGAAGCTGGCAAGGAGAAGAGGCCTTGGAGGTGGAGGGTGGGTTAGCCAATAAACAGCTTTTTGCCAAGGAGCATCTTTTAAAAATGATGTAAACCAAAACTTTTGGGGTGTGCTGTAGTGTTGGTTTTTCTCTAGTGTAAAATAACAATTCGTTGGTTTCCTTCCAGGTTCGAATGAAATCCATGTTTGCAATTGGCTTTTGTTTTACTGCCCTAATGGGAATGTTTAATTCTATGTGAGTAGCCTTTTATATGGTTTTATCTAAATATTGCTCTATGTGTGTGTATGTGAACAATTAGCTTTTTTGGTAATATTTTGATATTTCAAATTTACAGAAGTTACAAGAATAGTACATTGATTAACCACATTCACAGTTGTTAACATTTTGCCTCATTTGCTTTCCTTTTTTCTCTGTTTCTCCATATCATATATGTACTCATTCATACATTATTTGTATATTTTTCTGAATCATTCAAGAGTTTGTTGTAGGCTTCATGCCCCTTTACCCATAACTACTAAAGTGCGTATTTCCTAAGAACATGGACATTCTCTTACTTAACCTCAATCCAGTTATCAAAATCAAGGGAAATTTAATTTTGATGGAATACAATTATATGATAACTTTTTCACCCTCTTAATATTGAAGATATATGTAAGGCAAAGACTAAGGTTTTATGGGTCCTCTAAAAAGAATTCAATATGTTTCCTGGGTTTTTAAGTTCCTTACTAACAAACTTCTTCAAAATGAAGGTAGTCATACAGAGATGTTTTGACTCTTAAAATAGAGTCTTAACAACTATAATCTTGTTTAATAATAAGGTAGGTTACTGTTGTCTAAACTAGCATATAGCAGGCCTGAGTAATTGTGGGACTGCTTTTGACAGAACCTGGGAAAATATCCAGAGATGACAAGCTGTCATTTCTTACCTTTCAGAGCTCTCCTGAACTATCCCACGCATTTTCCGCACTCACTCTTTTCCTTCCCTTTCTCCTACTCTTCCTCCCCTGCTTCATTTCTACCTGTCTGTCTCTCTCTCCTTGTACCCACACCCCGCCCCACCTCCAGTCTGTTCTTCTCTTCTCACCTGTCAAGAGCCTACTTTGTGCCAGGCATTGAGCTAGGTATCAGAATATAACAAATAAGATGTGTTCCCTGCCCTCAGTAATATCAAAATTTTATAGAAAGAAAAGACAAACAAATCAATACATTGATGGATGTTACAATAGATGTGTATGTGTGTGAAATATAGTAGGGGGGGAAAAGGGGAGTGGTTATTTTTACTTAGGTGAGGCACCAAAGGGAATGTCCAAAATGATTTTAATACAAAATTTCCACTTAACTAGTGATTACTAAAATCATAGACCTTTATTGCTGAAAAGGACCTTTGGAAGATTAAATAACTTGCCCAAGGTCTCTAGAAGTCTCATAATTTCTAACTTATAACTCTAAACTCAGTATCCTTTTTTCACTGCTATGCTTTCTCTCATTTCTTGGGTATATATCACCGTGGATTACCAGGCAAACCAAACACTGAAAGATTTTGTAGGTAACTAGTAAACTTCATTGATACAACTCAAATACTCAAATATTCTTTAATTTGTCACATTCTGGACAGTATAGAGCTAGCTAAGTACTCATCTATATTTAAAAAATTTGATGCTTAACATCTTATTTTTCTCATACTTCTGATTTTTAAAATAATATTTTTATAGGTTAGTGGTGTGTGTATGTAGAGCTATTCTTACTGGTCTTGGCTTTATTGTGTGATACCTACAATAAATTTGAATCACTGCTTTGCTTGAAGTTCAGCATTTGATTTTATTCCTTAGTCTTATGTACAGGTGGGTTCTAACGAAATAGGCTGATTAAGAAAGAACTGTGGGGAATATAGCCAATATTTTATAATAACTCTAAATGGAGTATAATCTTTAAAAACCGCGAACCACTATGTTGTACACCGGGAACTTATTTAATATTGTAAAACTTATGTATACCTGAATTTTAAAAAAAAGAAAAGGAAGAAAGAATGGTGGCCATTTCTACCAGTGGTAATGCTGCCTTATATTCATGTGGTTCCCTTTCTTAATGTTATTTGTGAACATATTGTGGTATGAACGGCTGCTCTATGGGAAGGGCATCTGATTCAAATATATTTTTCTCCCAATGCCATATTTTTCCCCTCAGGTGTAACCTTTTATTACATTTTTTTCTGTAATCATTGAAGTAATAAATTCTTACTGGAAAAATTCCAATAATATATAAATGTATAAAATATAAAGTAAAGATCACTCTGCCTTCCTCAAATGAGTACGTGTCCTTTCAAGATTTGTACTTCTCTCTGTATACAAACATTTAGATATTTGTATGTATTAATTTTTATACTCCAAAATGGTTGTTTTGTAACCTGCTGTAGTTACCTGTGATGGTTTTTTAAATACAGTATGTGTAACTCTTGCATAATCATTTTTAGAGGATTTTTTTTTAATTTTTTTAAAAAATTTATTTTTATTTTTATTTTTTTGGCTGCGTTGGGTCTTCATTGCTGCATGCAGGCTAGGATTTTTTAAATTATTTATTTATTTATTTGGTGGCACCAGGTCTTAGTTGTGGCTCGTGGGCTCCTTAGTTGTGGCTCGTGGGCTCCTTGGTTGTGGCATGTGAACTCTTAGTTGCAGCATGCATATGGGATCTAGTTCCCTGACCAGGGATCAAACCCGGACCCCCTGCATTGGGAGAGCAGAGTCTTAACCACTGTGCCACCAGGGAAGTCCCATCTTGCATAATCATTTTTAATGTCTGTCAGTATTCTATTGAATGGATGTACCCTAACTTATATAATCTTCTATTAATCTTCACACAGAATTTTCACAGGTAGTATGTACACCAGTGTATGCTTATTTTTTCCTCAGGCATATCCTAGAAGTATTGCTTAGGTGAAATTTTTTTTTTTGGCCTTGCCGCACAGCATGCGGGATCTTAGTTTCCCCGACCAGGGATCGAACCCGCGACCCCGTGCGGTGGAAGTGCGGAGTCTTAACCACTGGACTGCCAGGGAATTCCCCTAGAAAGGTTTTTATTAATTTATATTTTTCGATTATTGCCCTCAGTACTTGTGAGTGGTTCTTTCTTCATATATTTGTCATCACTGGGAATTATGTATCTGTTTAATATTTGCAAATCTAATAGCTAAAAAATAATATTTCTTTTAAAATTTGCATTTCTTGTGAGATGTAGCATCTTTTCATATACTTATGTTTATTTCTAAATTTCTAGTTCATGTTCTTTCCCTTATTTTCTTTTTATAAGAATTTTTTATTTATTGAGACTATTAAGCTCTCTTTTTGAGATATATGGGCAATGTTAATTTTTATGTCAAATCTGTTACTCTTTTATGTTATATAAATAGTTCCTTTCTCATACCAGATTATATAAATTTTTTTCTACTTTTTATTTTTTATATTTAAATTTTGTTTCATCTGTAATTTTTTTTGGTGGTTAGTTTCCAACTTTACCAAGTACTTAGCTATTGTTAATACCAGGTAGGGAACAAATAATATATTTTCCCTGATGACTTGAAATGACTAGTTTATGATATATCAGGTAGCTTCCCAAAGCTTATGTAGTAGATCTTTTTTTTTTTTTTTTTTTGCTGTACGCAGGCCTCTCACTGTTGTGTCCTCTCCCGTTGCGGAGCACAGGCTCCGGATGTGCAGGCTCAGCGGCCATGACTCACGGGCCCAGCCGCTCCGCGGCATGTGGGATCTTCCCGGACCGGGGCACGAACCCGTGTCCCCTGCATCGGCAGGTGGACTCTCAACCACTGCGTCACCAGGGAAGCCCTATGTAGTAGATCTTAACCAGGAGTGCGCATCAGAACCAAAGTTTAAAAAGAAAAAGGTTTTCTTATACTAGTAATACACAAGTACTTCTAAAAAATTCAAACAGTATAATGTAGAATAAAAGGTGAAAGTGAAACCAAATGAGTTGAAAACTTATGTCCACACAGAAACCTGCACACAGATGTTTATTGCAGCTTGATAATTGCCAAAACTTGGAAGCAACCAAGATGTTCTTCAGTTGGTAAACGGATAAACTGCGGAACATCCAGACAGTGGAGTGTTACTCATTGCTAAAAAGAAATGGGCTATTGGCCATGCAAAGACATGGAGAAACCTTAAATGCATATTACTAAGTGAAAGAAATCAACCTGAAAAGGCTGCGTACTATATGATTACAACTATATGACATTCTAGAAAGGGCAAAGCTCTGTAGACAGTAAAAAGGTCAGTGGTTGCCAGGGATTAGGTGTGAGGGAGGGATGAATAAGCAGAGCACAGAGGATTTTTTAGTGTAAAACTACTCTGTGTGATACTTAATGGTGATACATGTTGCTAAACATTTATTAAAACCCAAGAGTGAACCCTAATGTAAACTGTGGACTTTGGGTGATAATGAGGTGCCATTGCAGGTTCATCAGTTGGCAATTATGAATAATGCTTCCATAAACATCTGTGTGCAGGTTTTTTTGTGAACATGTTTTTAACACCTTTGGATAGATACCAAGGAGCATGGTTGCCGAATGGTATTCATGTTTTTTTTCTGGTCTTTGTGCTCAGACCAGAAATTTAAATATATATATATATATATATATATATTTCTTATGTCTAGGACTGTGAGCACCTAGAAGTTAAAGAATGTATCTCTATTTTTATAAGCTGGTATGTGAGATTAAAAGTCTAGTACTTTTTTTTTTTTTTGGTGAGCAAATTCCAAATTTTATTTCACATATATTGAAAAGCAGACATTTCAGATCTGATGTTCAGAATATCCAATCTATAAGATTCAATGCTATCTTCATATCCTCAGATAAAACGTCATTGTTCATGTGACATGACAGTCCAGACAATAGCTGGGATTGAAACCGAATGCACCCCTTTCTTTTTCTTTTCATTAAAAATATTAGCAAATAATAATTTAATCAAAATTTAATCATATTTTCTATGTATGAATTTTAAATTTAAATGGGAAAAAAAAGTATAGAAAAAAAAGCCCACCATCCCTCAGTAGTTCTAAACAAAAGTAATGTGGGTGTCAGTTATTACAGAGTCTAGTACATATTTTGATTGTATTGAACAATCACTATTCATTTTTTGCATAATTTCTCTTAGTTTCACCTTGATCATCTGTTTATTATAGAATGGAATACATTATCTCTAATACCCATTTTAGTCTTACAATTGTTGATAAGAAAAAAGGCTCAAGTTAGACTAAGATGGGAAGGACTTGAGCTCCAGATTGCCAGAGTAGCAACAGGAGGCACCAAATTCAGCTATTTATTTGTCTTTGGCTTCTCTTCTGGATCATTTCCATAAAGCTGAAACGTTAAATCTTAGAAGTGATCTTAAAAGTCATTTTAACACATTACTTCTGTGTCAATACGGAAATCCCTCCAATAATACCTCTAGCAGATAATTTTCCATTATTTGTAATCATTTTCAACGATGAGAAGCTTGATGTTTTCTGAGACAATATAGTTTTACTGAGTAGTATTTAGGGTTTGAAAGTGGTTCCTTTTACTGGACCAAAATATGCCTGCTTGTTCTGTTCATGAGCAGTGGTGCTGCCCTCTGGAACTGCAGAGAGTAAGTTCACTTAAAGAAATAATCTACCTATTATAAGCTCTCTCTCTCTTTGCACCTTTTTCTTTCCCTCCCTAACTCTTTTCATTATTAGGCTACACACTAGTAATGGTGTCTATTCTTAGCTATTCCTATGGAAAACCTCTAATCTCCTGGAAAAATTAATTTGAAGGGGTTTTTTCCTTCATATTTGTGGCTGGTTTAAGGTCTCATTCGTACTAAATGTTCATTTTCACATAAATGAATAACTCATTTATAGGACATGAAAGGTTTTCTCTCTCCTTTTTCTTTTAAAGCTTTTTTCCAGCTTTATTGAGATATATAATGACATATAATATAGAACATTGTGCACGTTTAAGGTGTACAGAGTGATAATTTGATACACATACATATTGCAAAATGATTACCACAGTAAGGTCAGTTAGCAAATCCTTCATCTCACATAAATATCATTCTGTTGTGGTGGCAGTGAGAACAATTAAGACTTACTCTCTTAGCTTTCAAGCATATAATACAGTATTAAGTGTAATTACTATGCTGTACAATAGAAGCCCAGAGCTTATTCATCTTAAAACTGGAAGTTTGTACCCTTTGACCAGCATCTCCCCATTTCCCTCAACCCCCATCCTCTGGCAACCACCAATCTAATTCTGTTTCCATGAGTTCAGCTTTTTTAGATTCCACATATAAGTGATGTCATACAGTCTTTCTCTGTCAGACTTGTATACAGTATATATATCACATTTTCTTTATCCATTCATCTGTTGGTGGACACTTAGGTTGTTTCCGTATCTTGGTTATTATGAATAATACTGCAATGACATGGGAGTACAGATCTCTTTGAGACAGTAGTTTATTTCAGTTCCTTTGGCTAAATAGCTAGAAATGGGATTTCTGGATCATATGGTAGTTCTACTTTTAATCTTTTGAAGAACATCCATATTGTTTTTCATAGTAGCTGTACCAATTTACATTCCCAGCAATAGTGCCCAGGGGTTCCCTTTTCTCCACATCCTTGCCAGCATTTGTTATCTCTTGTCCTTTTGATAATAGTCATTCTAACAGGCATGAGGTGAAATCTCATTGTGGTTTTGATTTGTATTTCCCTGATGGTTAATAATGTTGACCACCTTTTCATGTACTTCTTGGCCATTTGTATGCCTTGTTTGGAAAAAATATCTGTTCAGATCCTCTGCCCACTTTTTAATTGGATTATTTGGCATTTTTTGTTTTGCTATTGAGTTGTACAAATTCTTTATATATTTTGGATATTAACTCCGTATCAGATATATAGTCTGCAAATATTTTCTCCCATTTCATAGTTTGCCTTTTCATTTTGTTTCTTTTGCTGTGCAGAAGCTTTTTAGTTTGATGTAGTCCCATTTGTTGATTTTTGTTGCTTGTGCTTTTGGTGTCATATCCAAAAAAATCATTGCCAAGACCAATGTCAAGGAGCTTTTTTCCCTATGTTTTCTTCTAGAAGTTTTACAGTTTCAGGTATCATGTTTAAGTCCTTAATCCATTTTGAGTTAATTTTTATGATAGGAGTCCAGTGTAATTCTTCTGCATGTGAATATCCAGTTTACCCAGCACCATTTATTGGAGAGACTATCCTTTTCCCCAATGAGCATTTCTGGCTCTTGTCAGATATTAGTTGACTGGGTTTATTTCTGGGCTCTCTATTCTATTCTGTTGGTCTGCATGTCTATTTTTGTGCCAGTAATATATTAGTTTGATTACTATAGCTTTGTAACATAGTTTGAAATCAGGAAGTTTGATGCCTCCAGCTTTCTCAAGATTGCTTTGCCTATTCAAGATCTTTTGTGGTTCCATATGAGTTTTAGTATGGATGTTTCTATTTTTGTGAAAAGTAGAGTTTTGATTAGAGATTGTGTTGGGTCTATAGATGACTTTGTTGTTTTTAATAAATCTATTTATTTTATTTATTTATTTTTGGCTGCATTGGGTCTTCGTTCCTGCGCACGGGCTTCCTCCAGTTGCAAGGAGCGGGGGCTACTCTTCATTGCGATGCACAGGCTTCTCATTGTGGTGGCTTCTCTTGTTGCGGAGCACAGGCTCTAGGCATGCGGGCCTCAGTAGTTGTGGCATGCAGGCTCAGTAGTTGTGGCTTGTTGGCTCTAGAGCGCAGGCTCAGTAGTTGTGGCACACGGGCTTAGTTGCTCCATGGCATGTGGGATCTTCCCGGACCAGGGCTTGTACCTGTGTCCCCTGCATTGGCAGGTGGATTCTTAACCATTGTGCCACCAGGGAAGCCCTGTAGATGACTTTGGATAGTATGGACATTTTAACAATATTAACTCTTCCAGTCTATGAACATGGATATCTTTCCATATATTTGTGTCTTCTTCAGTTTCTTTATCAATGTCTTATAGTTTTCAGTGTATATATCTTTCACCTCCTTGATTAAATTTATTCCTAAGTATTTTATTGTTTTTGATGTAGATGGGATTGTTTTATTCTTTTTTTCATATAGTTCATTGTTGGTGTATAGAAATGCAACTGATTTTTGTATGTTGATTTCTATCCTGAAACTTTGCTGAATTCATTTATTAGTTGTAAAAGATTTTCTTTTTGGTTACAATTTCAAGTCAAAAATGTCAAGGAATAAAATGACTGTATAAGATGAATTTGTTGGGTGTGTATGTTAGCAACAAGAGGGGTAAACAGTTTGGGCTATATTTATTCCAGCCCTACTCCTCACAGTTTAACTCTACAGATGGAGAGTAGAGTGGCGTATGTAGAACAGTATACTGCATATAGCATATAACCAGGAAATATTGGAACAACTGTGTATAATACTTCCTGTGAGTGAATGGGAATACCTCCTCCTGGAAAAGTTATTACAATACTTTGTTTTGCTTTTGTGAGGTTAGTAGATAAGAATAACTACTTCAAGCAGATCTTTAAATATTTTCGTCATATCCAAGTAACAACAGTTCATGATTGAGCCCTTACCCTGTGCAAACTATATACTAGGAAAGCAGTTGGAAATAGTAAGTGGACAATCATACATATGTACAGAATATGTCAAATTCATTCTATTTATATTCTTTGGAGTTCAGCTGTATAAGAAGCTCTTTATAACCACAATAGTTAATATGGATATTTAGGTATTTTTTTCCCCAGCGAAAAAGATGGTAATGCTACCTCTCTTTTCCCTCTCCCTCTATAGAAATTTCTAAATACCAAATGTTTTTCTAAGAGGGAATGTTCTAGATATTTTAACTGGAGTTAAAGACTTTATTTGGATAAATTAACTGATGCTGTCATATATTTTTCTAATATTATGAAGTATGAAGTCCTTAATCACATTAATTTATAATTGTCAATATTGTCTGACTGTACAGCTTATTCATAGAAAAGCATAAAAGAAGTTTATATCCCCAGCATCTCAAAATAAACACTGATACCTATTTTCTTCTAGTTTTTTTCTAAGATTTTCTCTTTTCAAAACATTTCTTTTCTATTTTAGAAAAAGTAAAAGGAATTACTTTCAAACATTAGAAGTATGTTAAAAGTTATCTCAGAGTATTATGTATGCCATTTTTCATTCACCACTATGTATATTCCATGAATTTCTCTCCAGAAGTGCTTATCCTGTTTAATATGTATATACTGGGACTCTTTGAGTCTTGGAAAAGAGGGTTCTTAAAATCTTATTGGTGTCATGGTTTAGAACAGTGGTTCTCAAAGTGTGGTCTGGGGATCCCTGGAGGTCTCTGAGACTTTTAGGAGGTCCTTGAGGTAAAAAGTATTGTTGTAGTAATTCTAAGATGTTATTTGCCTTCTTCACTCTCTTTCTCTCATGAAGGTACAGTGGAATTTTCCAGAGGCTTCATAGGGTGTGTAATATTGCAACAGCCTGAGTAATGAAGCAGCTATGAGAATCCAACATTTTTCTATTAAATAAAACATTAAAGAGATTGGAGGGAAAAAAGCCTTTCTTCTCACTAAATTCTTTTCCTGTATGGAACATATATTTTCCATAAAAATACTTGTGTTAACATACTGAATATTGCTACCTTTTAAATGATTTGATAAATGGTTTAAATTTTCTGTTTTAATTTATAAAACAGTAATATTGATAGATATAACCTCTAAATAAAACCTCTTTAGGGTCCTCAATAATTTTTCAGAGTGTTAAAGGATCCTGATACTGAAAAAATTAAGAATCACTAGTTTAGAAAAAGATTGATGGGAAAAATCTAGGCGCCCTTCCTTACATCCTTATACTTCAAGTCTCTTTTTAGAATATCATCCTTTCTTTGTTTTTTAGAGATCAAGGGACTTAGAGTTCTATTTCTGTCCCAGATTCTTCTCTGGAACTAAGAAGCTTGTCAGTCTTCCAAAAATAACAGTTCTTTGTTTTTTCCTTTTTAGATTTGATGGTAGAGTGGTTGCAAAGCTCCCTTTCACCCCCCTTTCCTACATCCAAGGACTGTCTCATCGAAATCTGCTGGGGGACGATACCACAGACTGTTCCTTCATCTTCCTGTATATTCTCTGTACCATGTCAATTCGACAGGTAAGTGACAACATCCACTCTTTAATATGTATATCCTTCCTTGCTGTCACACCCTAAATTAGTGTCTACTTCTGTAATACTGGAAGTGTCTACCTGTTGCTACTGAGATCTTTCAGTTGCTTGTTTTAGAATTCGAGTATCATCTAAAGCTGTTTTAAATGTATGTAGGTCTAGATTACTGATCCTTAGGGATGGGAAGTAGCCATAAAATCAAACATGGTTTCCACATCCCATTTTTAGAGCTCTCAAGTTTCTTCTTTATTGCAACTATCTAAAGGTAGAAAAGTAAAGAGTGGCTTTTGTCTTCCCACTATCATTTCTTCTTTATGATACACCAGTGCCTTTTGGCACTTCAGAAACACAAATAAACAAATAATTTGGTGACTTGAAGTTAGTCACAGTTGAGATAAAGTCTGGCTTGTAGAATTTACATTCAAGCAACATGATGGTCAGACATTCATAGTGAAAAAGAGTGAGAGCTAAGAGTTACATATAAGGTTGTGAGAGCCTGGAAGAGAGACATAACATTCAATTAGTGGCAGACGATTCAGGCAGAAAGGTTGAAAGAATGAAGTGGCTTTTGAGATGGGACTTTAAAAAGTAAGACAGGTTAATTAAAGTCTCTGGCTCCAGAACTCTTCATATTTCAAGGCATTATTCAGTTTTTGAACATACTGCCACTCAGCAGGCATTGTAGTGGGGAGGTTGGCACATGCAATAAGTATGAGCATGATTCTTTCAATGATTGTTACATAAATGATTCAGAGTTATTTTTCTTCTTCTTCTTCCTCTGAATATTGTCTGTGGCAGCAGGTTTTTTGATTTGTCTGGCATGTGGGAATCAATAGGAAATGGAATAATAGTTTGAAGCTCACAAAGATCTTCATGATCTTACCACTTAATACTTTCCTTACCTCATCTCTCACCTCATCCAACACTCCGGCCATTCTGACTTGCCTGACAGTTTCCATGTTCCACTTACCCAGACTCACTTTTTGTGAATGCTCTTCCTTCTATCTGGATGTCTCCCACCTTTTTCTGTTGCATATTAAATGCAACCAAGTTTCCAGGCTTCCTGTAATCATTTTCTGACACTTGCTGCATTCTGAAGGGTAGATATATGACCAGATGCAGAAATCTCAGAAGATTATCACAGTAGTCTAGCAAAAAATCACTGTGTTCTAAACTTACAGTGATGGGAGGGTTGAAAAGGAGAGGACAAAGTTGAAAAATATATAGAGGTAAACTAGCAGAACTTAGTGATTGATTTAATGTGAGAAAGGAGAAACTAAGGTAACTTCAACATTATGGCTTTGGTGACCAAATGGAGGATGGGAATAGAAGAAAGAGAAGTAGGTTGGTTAGAAAACATGCTGTTTGAGGTGTTTGTGAGGGACTTAAGTGGGTATGTCCACCAGGAAGTTGTATTCTTGTGTAGCCGAGGTGTATACTACATCTTTTGACATGCTTTAGCATTTTGGCTTATCTGAGGTGAAAGCCAAGACAGCGACAACATGGATCTCTTTGTTGGTTTAACAGAGGTAATTGATAACTAGAATATTGCTCTTAAATTTGATTATTTAAGTATGAAATATTAAAATTATAGCTAGGGTCAAAATATTAATAAAAAAATGATGTATACATGCTACTTTAAGCAACGAAGAACAATTCTATTTTAATTACATGCAGATGTTACTACTTTATTTTTGATGGCTCACGACAGTTTTGTGGTTTTTTTGTGTTTGGGGGTTTGTTTTTTTGGGGCCAGCCTCGCGGCTTTGCAGGATCTCAGTTCTCTGACCAAGGATTGAACCCAGGTCATGGCAGTGAAAACCCGGAATCCTAACCACTAAGCCACCAGGGAACTCCCTCACAATAGTTATTTTAGATGCACCATTTGCACTGCTACCTGGACATTGTTACCTAGAAATCACCATCTGAACTGTAGACGTTTTTTTTTAGTGAAATAAATGTTAAGAATGATCATTGAGAAAGTTCAGCTCAAGCTGGTCTTTAAACTCCTTTCAGTTATTTCAGAAAGTCTGGTGAGGTGTATGTGTAGCAATTAATTTTATCAGGAATGCCATGGTCATTTACCATGGTGGTCAGCAAACTTCTTCTGTTTGCTGACCACCATGTAAGGGTCTAGATCAGGGGTCCCCAGCCCCCGGGCTGCGGACTGGTACGGCATGTTAGGAACTGGGCCGCGCAGCAGGAAGTGAGCTGCGGGCAAGCGAGCGAAGCTTCATCTGCTGCTCCCCATCGCTCACATTAGTGCTTGAACCATCTCCCCGCTGCCCGTCCATGGAAAAAATTGTATTCCATGAAACCAGTCCTTGGTGCCAAAAAGGTTGGGGACTGCTGGTCTAGATGATAAATGTTTTTGTATTTACTTTTCAGACCATACAGTCTCTGTCACAACAACTTAACTCTGCCATTATAGTATGAAAACAATCCTAGACAATATGTAAATGAATGAATGTGGCTGTGTTCCATCAAAACTTTATTTATAAAAACAGTCAGGGGCTTCCCTGGTGGTGCAGTGGTTAGGAATCTGCCTGCCAATGCAGGGGACATGGGTTCGAGCCCTTGTCCAGGAAGATCCCACATGCCACGGAGCAACTAAGCCCATGTGCCACAACTACTGAGCCTGCGCTCTACAGCCTGCAAGCCACAACTACTGAAGCCCACGTGCCACAACTACTGAAGCCCATGCACCTAGAGCCCGTGCTCCGCAACAAGAGAAGCCACCACAGTGAGAAGCCCGCGTGCCACAATGAAGAGTAGCCCCCGCTAGCCGCAACTAGAGAAAGCCCGTGCGCAGCAATGAGGACCTAATGCAGCCATTAATTAATTAATTAATTAATTTTTAAAAAACGGACAGTAGACCAGCCATGCTAACTCCTGAGAATACAAAGAAAAGGTGAAAGGTGATGGGTGGGGAGAGAAGGAGCGGCAAAAAAAACACAAAAATTCAGTGTGTTTGTTTTCAGCCAAGGAAGATATATATTCATACTTTTAATTTCCGCTTGTCCGAGTATATGCACTGATATTAATAAGAGAAAAGTATATAGAGCTCTAGTATAGGTATTCTGAGATATTAAAAATCTTTGAAAAATCACTAAAATGACCTACTTTTATCATTTTTATTAGCTGCCAATAGTTTCTTATTCTGTTCCCCATTGGTTGTTAGTATGTATACTAACAGGAGGATTATGAACTTATATCCAGTCTGAAATACTTTAGCATTTGAAGTGTTACTATGGAATATATGCTTCTTTCTTTGAATTAAAATTCCTTTCTCTTATTCCCTTTCTCTTTCTATGTTTTGTTTTGTTGTTTTATTTGTTTTTTAAGATCTTACATTGCATAATAGTTAACTCTGTAGATGCATGTGAAATGATCCGTCATAAAATATGAGGCTTTCAGATTAGAGACTGTATTATGATTCCCTCAATGAAGCCGTTCTTTTTTTTTAATTAATAAATATATATATTAAAAAAATTTTTTTTTGGCTGTGTTGGGTCTTTGTTGCTGCGCATGGGCTTTCTCTAGTTGCACCGAGCGGGGGCTACTGTTCGTTATGGTGCGCAGGCTTCTAGTGATTTCTGAATTTCCTGTATATATCTTAAAGTGTAGTGTGCACCTAAAAGGCAGGTGTGAAACAAACAGTAGATACTACACCCAAATATAAACTTGGAAAATTGGGGTTATACCACTTTTTACTCCCTAAAACAATGTAGGAAAATTCATGTTGCCCCCAACCTCCAGTAGGAATTGTCAACTTTGGGATTTTTACCAATCTAACAGATAAGAATTGCTCTCTCATTGTAGTTTTAATTTGCTTATTTGGATTGAGCATCTCTGTTTGTCTAAGAGCTATTCATGTATTTTTTTCTTTCTTTGGTAGGCGAGACACTGTGTATGCTTTTTGCCTATTTCGCTATTGGGTTGTTGGTCTTTTTCTTAATTTTTAGCTCTTAGAGAGATTAGCCCTCTCTGTGATCTAAGTTACTAATAATTTTTACAAATTGTCATTCGTGTTTGTTTTACTTAGTATGGTTTTTGCCATGCAAAATTTTGTTTGCTGGAGGTTTTTAGTTGTTTTTTTGTTTGTTTTTCTTTTCCTTTTTTGGTTTACTAGTCTTTAACTAAAGTTATAAAGAAATTCATCCTTGTTTTCTTCTAGTACATTTTGACTTCATTAAGTCATGGTTCGATGCATTTGGAGTTGACACTGGTGTACCTTATTTATTCTTTGCTCTTGTACTTTGCCAACTATTATGTGATTTTTATTAGGGAAAACATGGATTCATTTGAGATCAAAGGTTGCCTATCCGTTGTTTTCAAAGACTGAGGAGCCGGAGGGTCAAAAGAATGCAGTAAGGTTAATGATCATTCTTGAATCTAGTGTGTATTTGAATAGGACGAAGCCCTGTCAGCAGCCTACTATTAATATTTTCTCTGGAGTGCCTGTCTAAATTCCTCTTTGAAATTTGAAAGTCTGTTCAGATCCCAGTGCAAGTGTTTGGCTGGGGACACTCCTCCTTTCTTCACACCTTGTGTAGATAATTAGGGTTCTGGAATGCACAGGTGTCATAGAGTGGGCTAAGCATTGTGATCTGAACCCCTAGAGTAAAAGAATATGGAGGAGTGGGTCAAAATATATGTGTCATACCTGTAGAGTCTCAAGGTTTAAACTTGTCAGTGTGACTGCCCCTGGTAGCAATTTTCCAGAGGAATCCTCAAGGCAATGCTCTCTTATGTCCAGAAGCTACTTTCTGGTTTCCTATATTCAGTAATACCAGTGCTTTTAATCTTTCTTGTTTATTGTGGTAAAATAGACATAACATAAAATATGCTGCTTTAACCATTTTTAACTGTACAGTTCTGTGACATTAAGTACATTGTACGTTGTCATATGACCATCACCACTATCCATCTCTAGAACTTTTTCATATTCCCAAACCGAAAATCTCTGCCCATTAAACACTAAATCT